AATCCTAAAAATGCTACCGAAGCCTTCTTTGACAGCAACGAAGACATATTTCCTACTGTTTATCGACTTTTACAAGTATTGATTACTTTACCTGTAACAACTGCAAGCAGTGAAACGTCTTTTTCCTCATTAAGACGCTTGAAAACATATCTAAGAAATACAACTGGTGAAAATCGCTTGAATGGCTTAGCTGTTATAAATATTCATCGAGATTGAGTCGTAACCACAGACGAAATAATAGATACACTAGCCTCAAAAAGTCGACACATTAAGTTAATTTAAAAATGTATTCATTTTTTTTTATTGATAATAAAATTATATAAGAGAACTATTATTCTAAACTATATTATCTATTCACTGGTAAGTTGTAATACGTTTGTATAATAAATAATTTTCAAGCGAGATATGAGCATTTTTAATATTTCCATACACTTATTTTTCTCAAAAGTGAAAGTATCGAAAAATCGCCCAAGCTAAGACCCAGATAATGTTCTTACCTAAAAGTTTGATAATATGTCGATTCACTCTAGTATCAAAACTAACAGCTCACTATTGAAAATAGTGAACGACAATTTGTTATGTCGTGCGTGTGTAAGACAGAGACAAGACACGCGTCTTAGCGTCCTCTTAAGTTTGAATAACACCCCCCCTTTGAAATGTCTAGCTACGCGCCTGTGTTTAACATATAATATTGCATCTCATATATAATATTAGCTTTATTGTTATATATAAAAAAATAAATAAAGTCCAGAGAATTAAAAGCTGTTTTAAAAGTTTCTTTGGACGATATTTCTTAAGACACCCGTATATATATACAGTTATAGTTCGAAAGAAGAGTCACGAACTGCTTTTGCAGGTCGTCCAATGGGACTTTCAATGATCGCAAAGGTCCCTCGGTACAGTAAGTTGTAGGCAGCACACAATACACCGTCCAGTTGTCTTGGCTGCCCCAGCTGTGTCTGTATTATTAATATTTTAAGTTTCTCAGCTCAACAGTGTCGAAACACCATCATCTATTTTATTACATTATACGATGACGCGGACGAAAATCCGTTTAAAATAATAATATAATACAATGTGCCTACCTCAAACCCTCGCGGGCGGACAGCTTGTCTACTCGCGCGAATAATAGACGTGACCGTAGACGATATTATATGCTTATGTGTAACGCATTAAACCGTATAACATAATATTATATTATACCAGATACCTACACAATCGCATTTGGCGAAAACACGACGATCGTTCGGTGTGCACGTTTTGCTCGATTTTTGTACGTTCGTCGGTTGCACAGTATTATATGCACAAGTTCGGCTATTGTGCGTCGCCGAGGCGCTTCAACACCGCAACCGAACCGCAGCTAGGATGTTATTTTTATTAAATACAATAATAATAGAGGGTCGCTATGTGCACAATAATGTCATAGATCCCCCCCCCCGAACGTCGACTCGATGAGGGGGTTCGTATGGTGGGCTGCGAGGCGTCGACCTAGACAAAATGTATAGACGTGTATAAACTAAAATAGTATTTATTCCTAGGATTGAATGATGTTAGTATTACAGGTAATACAATATTATTAGTGCAAAATATATCGGATCTATCTAACACTCCTTCCGGGTAAAACTTTTGTTATCGAAGACCAAGATGAGTGCCTATTTATTCTAAGACTTATGAACATTATAAGATAATTACAAATTAATAAATAAAAACGAGAATTCGGAAAGAAACATGTACACGCATTTTTTAAAATCAATATTATATAATATTAGGGGATCTGGCTTCGCTCACCAACTTACTAAAGTGATTGGGGGGAGGGGGGGGACAAACCCCAGTTGTCCCAGGACGAACCTTTGGGGTCTTTGCCGCTGTAAGTCAAGTGTAATCCGCTTTGCATCTTGCTATTTAGTATCTTTGTAATGCAAAATATTTAAAAATAAAATGTTCTAAACTTTTTTTTACAAAGTTTAGAGAGATATAATTTTATGACTATGAATAAGCATTCTGTGCGTCAAATTATTTAGTAAAAATATTTTTTGAATTTAGTATAATGATATTTTGTACATAAATAAAAAATGCTTTCGCTTTTTTTCTCCTATTATTGTAAGACAAATTTTTAAGTTCAATACCTACCTGCAATCGGAATCACACACATCGATTAAAATCCAACCGGTATATCGTGGCATTTTAAGTTCTTTTTAGTATCAATTTTGTTTGTTTTCAAAATAAAGCAAAACATTATTATTAAAGATTTTATTTCGTATTACTCGTCAACGGCAAGTACCTACTCTTGATACAGTTGAATTAATAATTTATTCGAACGAATTGATTTGGATTTGCGTGGAACTATTTTCATCAAACATTTTTTTTTGCGCAACCGATAAGTTAGATTGTACGATTATAATACTCACACATTATACCCATTTCCTATATTATATTTTATAGATGTTGGCGATACGGTATGTGAACGCCACCGCTCTCGGGCCTGTAGCGTGTCATTACAATATTATATAAACGTACAATAACATTGTATTATATTATATTCTAACACTGTATTGTTGTCGTCGTTCGTCCGCCTTCGGGGGTGGTAGACACCGCGGTGAGGTGGCGAGACAACCTTTGGTTGGCGTTGGGGGGAGGGGGAGACAGATTGCGCAAATCCGACCTTACAATATCAAAATATTATCGCACAAAGGCCTAGTTCACATATTACGTTCGCATAAATAATAGGTAAATTATTATATCATAGACGAAGCTCGATGGCCGTCATATATGTGACCGTATAATGGCCGCCGCCAAAAAAAAGGGTTTATATCCGGAACGGTTGGAAACTGACGAAAAATCCGTCTAGTCATCCGCGATTCCGGGGTTGCGACACGCGGCCCGCGACGCATAATATAATATTTATTATTATAATATTATACCTACAAATCGTACACACTATAAATGCCCTACAAGAGGCGACGCGACTGCACAATGCACATGACGTTGCATTGTAATATTATAATGTCTGAAAAAAAAGTCGGGCCCTTGCGCTGCAGAATACGCTGCAGCACAGGTGCAGTTGCATTACAATAATAATTTGCAAAAACGACAAACTCATCGGTGCCCCGCCTGCACAACATATTATTACCTCCGTATCATACTCTGTATCGGTACAATATATAATACTCGGTGGCGTACCTATTTAGGACGATTTCTTTGAGGGGAGAGATGATAATGAGTAAAATTATTTAGAATTACAACCCTTTCCGGCCCGATAATAATATATAATGTGCGTTATAACTGTCTCTGACGTGTGGCCCAATCAAATGCGCATTAAGACCGTCGACGACGCACCATATTGAATCACCGTAATATTATAATAATAATATATTATAATAGTATGTATAGTATTGTAATGACTCGATTAGAGAAACAATAAAACCATGCAGTCACGGTGCACACTGCAAAAATAAAACGATTTAATAATATATTACAATATCGACAGCGTCCTCCATCGTCGATCCGTCGCTCTATTCAAATCAGCGGGTTATACCCTGTGATATAGGACCTATATATCATAAATAACGATATTGTCCCAATAACGAATTCAAAATAATGACGAGAAGGGAAAAACAGGGCAGTTTTTTTTTTGTTCATATGCGCACGGTCACTGTTTTTTAACCGTTTTTTTCATTCACAACATTGAATATTTTATAATATATAATATATATATACCTTTATAGCGTTTATATGAATTTTATATTTAAAACATTAATTATAATATTATATTAATATGTTATATAATTTATTCTTTACCCGATGCCTTAATATAAGATATAACCCATGCAGTTCGTCTTGGCACTAGGCGATTTATAAAAAAACTGTGTTCCGAAAACTATATTAACTTTTATTGTACGGTTCGATTCACAGCAATAAGTGCAAACAATTTGTGTGGTTTTACGCCATCACCATTTTGCAGTGCTGTCATTCGGTTTCCAACTGCGGAGTTAAGACCGCAGATGTCTCCTCTTGGAAAAAATGGGTAGTATCTGCAATGTACCTTTGGGCCAAAAAAAAAAAAATATGACCTAAGAGAATATAATGAGAATATTTGAAGGGTTTTTAGAGAATAATAGTAACATATTTTAGATATTTTAAGAGAATACTTAAAATAAGTCCGGTCTTTACTGATCACAGACTAAAAAAAAAACATACATCATTGTAAAATCAATACATTCATCTCTCCACTCAGAATCTAAAATATAAAAATATACATAGATGGCAATTTTATTTGTTTTGTATAAAACATCACTCAATGTTTTATGTCTTAGAAGTTATATATATTTCTTTTTTGTAATTCGTTCTTATTAACGTTTTAATGTTTTCATTGCATTTAAAATATCCATAGTATTATAATATTACCTTCCATTGTATCAAACTTTAATACTTTAGAGTTTAGGATCAATTTTATTTTCATGAAAAGATTTTAAATGCAAAATATATCTAGCTATGGTATAAAACGATTTCAGACAATGTCCAAATTACCATAATATTAAATACGTGGCATTTGACATAATGGTATAATTTTTGGTATAAAAACTAATAAATATAAAACTGCTGCAGTCTGCACATTTCTCGAAAGACAGACTCTTTCGTTTTTTGAGGAGACCGTATACTTAATAGTTTATGTTCAGGGTTACCAGTGGAATATATAAACAACTTCCGACAAAGATTCATTGTAATATTATTGTATACGTATATTATATATATTGTAAAATCATATTTTAATATTGATATTGATTGACAGTGGATAACATATTTAAATCCCTGATGACAAACGAAAACACGATCCGAAACGGGTACAAAGACTTAATAATATAATATCTAAACACTAAGTTAACAATAATAATTATATCATATTTTATATCATTATAAAACCTCTATCGTGTGTGTCTGCACGTTCCATCAGGTGTCTATACCTTGCGGTGGTGGCGAGTCTTCCGGACGACGAGACGTGCCTACCCAGACGTGCCGGCTTCACTCGTCGACGCGGCGGCTTCACTCTTCGACGCGGTGGCTTCACTCTTCGACGCGGTGGCTTCACTCTTCGACGCGGTGGCTTCACTCTTCGGCGGCGCTTCTACGTTCAGGTAAGTGCTGTCCGGCCGCGGACGTCCGCGGTAGAAGAACAGCGACGACCACAGGTGGTCGGGCATGGTGACGATTCCCAGGCTACGGGCGGTCCGGGCCATGTGCTCCGATTGTACGCGGGTCATGTCCACTATTGTATTTATCGGCATCATCGTCTCGAGCGAGGCGTCCTTGATCAGCGGCGTCTTCTTCGGCACGCCTGTCCTCTTGAAGAAGTCTTCGTCGGTCAAGTACGGCATACAATAATCGGACAAGAAAATGTTGACATTTTCGGTCAAGTCTTTCATGTTTTCCACCAACGCCTCGGGATACGGCAGTTTTTCCAAGCGTTGAATGCCGTCGTACTGCAAGACCTTGATCGACTTCCAGTAGGACTTCAACAGGATGGACAGGTCGTCGTCGGGCACGGCGGCCAGAATGTCGATGAACGAGGCGGCGTTCTTCTTGAACGCGTTGGCCGTTTGCAGCACGATGTTCGGCTCGGCTTCCTTGACCATCAACAGCGAAATGCTGCTCGTCTGGTACGCCACCTGCTTGAACGTGTAGCACGCCAGCGCCCGACGCACGGCCTTGGCACCGTACTCGACGAACGACCGGATGGCGTTGTAATATTTGGTCACCTTGGCCACGATTTCGCGCACGTCGTACAACGACATCCCTTCGGCCAGTTGGCTGACCGCGTCCGAGTGTGGCCCCACCGGCGGCCCGGCGAGCCCTCGTCCCTCGTACGGTGGCTTGCCCAACTTCATGATCGGTTCCTGCAGCACGTCCGTCCACTCGTCCTCGTGCATCATCACATGCTTGAGCAGCTTGCCCGCGTCCATGTTCGGCCGGTACACCCTGAACGCCTTGCTCCGGGGCTGCCGTGGCCGCCGAGCGACGCCCGCCACGGCCACCACGAACGCGGCCACCAACAGCAGTCGCACCGCACCTCTGCCTCCGGCGTACATTTTTGTCGCCGCCGTTGTCTGTAGTTTTGGTGGAAACGGAACGGGTCTCTCTTCTTTTTGATGCGATATTTTGACGACGGCTGGCGACGGAATGCGCGCGACGCGCGGCGCCATCATTGGCCGCAGGCCGCCACGTAAACACAGAAGTGTCGTGTCGTCTGTTTAAACAGCATTTTGCGACTTGTGTAAATGGTGTAAACAGCGAAAAAAATTGGTGCGAATTGAGTTCTTGAATCGTACAGCAATTAAAACATTAGAATATTTAATTATTTATATTGTTGGGGGCTGGATACATAATATGTCCGTCGCCCCTTATTTTTATTGCTCGATTACTGGTGTCGAACCAATTCTAAAAACTGTCAAAAAAATTAATACAAAGGACGTACAATATAATATTTATATATAAATATTTTCGAGAATATCATTTGTGTGTGTGCGGGGGGTGAGTACACGTACGTGTTTCGATGTGCTTCAACTCACGGCGCCTGCGCGTTTATCGTTGGATTTTGTTTTGTAGGTACATACGAGTATAATATCGATTTGGACAACACAATGGAAATCTTAATGTAAAGCGTATAATCGCTATTGTCCCTATACAATTTTCTATTGTAAATTTATAACTACATAATATTATACTCGTTCAATTACACGCCAATTAAATTAAAAGGTGGGCATTGATTAGCTTAAAAGTTAAATCCAAGTTTAGAGGATAATATTGTTTTTAAACCTCTCTACCTCTTGACGTAAGTGCATAGGTGGTTAAAGACGTTATCATCATTGAATATTGTTATGTTAACCATACTCGTCAATATTTTTCATTTTTGTCCCGAAAAATACTTTCAATGTTATGTTATTATTCGGTTCCTTATAAATGTAAACACACAATACATTCCAGTTTACTCACTTCCGTTTCCGCTAAAACTTACAGACCGGCAGTCCCGCTGGAAAGTTATATAATATATTTTAATATACGTGCAGACATTTTTACTAACAAAATCAGTCTTGATGTAAGAGTCATTATTATACTGATTGTCTCGGTACATTGACAATTTCTAAAATTTTTGCCTTTTTACGTGCCACGTGATTGTTCCAAAATATAATGGCTTTATTTATTTATTTATTTTTTTTATTTATTTGATAGACAATCGATAGATAATCAAGCTTGTAAAATATGTTTTCCATTTATAAGGATCAATTTTCATATTTATAAAAATGTTAAATACTACAACAATGTAAACATTTGTACATTTAGGTACCTCGAGATTCCGTTTTTCGTAAATCATAAGAAATAATATTTTAATTTTTCAATACTGTACCTAGGTATATATTATATAATATATGTACTTTATTTAATAATTTCAAATAATCCTTACAATTAGGTAATTTTATACTTAAAAATGTCCAATACAGTACTTAAATATAATATAAAAACAAAATCTGTAAATATCACATCGTTAAGATTTATTTTATGGTGTTAAAGTAGGTAACAATAATTATGATTGTTTAAAAAAATAAAAATCGTTTTATTTATCTACCTATAATCAAATAATTTTTTAAATATTTTTTTAACTATTACAGTTGTTGTTACTATAACAAGTTACAACAATTAACGAATATGGATATAGAATACAGTATACATTATAGTTAATTGTAAATGTAATACAAATAATATGATAACTTAGTGTCATAACTATCTATATTAATAGTAACTACTATATTAATTATTATAATTCAATTTTCATTTCCTAAAAATCTTTTTCATAGTTCGACCCGCTTTAGTAAGCATACCTTCCTTTGGCTTTGTTGCCTCGATCTGTCTCACGAGGATGTTGTTTTCAAATATCAGTTTCCAAACTTCCGGTGGCAATTTTCCGAGAAGCAGTCCTTTGAATACCTTAAGCAATACCCATCGCAACTTGTGGGCTTTTCTCACTGTCGGTTCCATTGGAATTTCGTTCTCCGGCAGAGTGGATATCGATGGATCATCCGGTTCAGGATCACTGAACTTAGCTTCTATAGTATTCATGTCAAGTGACACCGTATCTTTCTGGTCCTGATCATACCAAATGGTTGGGGACACGGCGCAATAACAATCGTACTCCTCCAGGAGCTCTTCCAGTACATCGGCCTCTCTCTTGATGCGAATCTTGTACTTTTTCTCGTTCTTGTCACTCTTGGTGTGAGTGACCCACTGCCTCCCGACGTCGGAGAAATACCTGGCCAATGCAATCAGGGGATGAAGTTCCACGCCGATGCTAGCCAGCACGTTAGCGAACAGTTGGTAATCGCCCACCAGTCGTTTGAGGTGAAAGGCGAACTGTCCAATAGCTTCGAAGGGTAAAGAAATCATGACGGCCAGCTGGAGTCTAGCATGCCTGTTAAACATACACTGAGCCGATAAGGCCAGTGCCTTCACGGCAAACTCCACGTACATGCCCGAATAAGGACAGTGTATCATGATTTTCCTGCTGATATATATCGCGTCAATCGTTTCATCTCCGAAATCGGGAAGTGTAGGGCAGAACTCTTTGACCAGTTCGGCCTCTACAGCGAATTCCGATTTGAGTTTTTCGCTCCGGACGGCTGACCATTGCTTGTCCATTGCCAGAACAGTTGTCAACAGCTCCAACTTTTCCCGATGCTCATCCGGAAGATCGTCCATTATATGACCACTCTCTTCTTCTAAGCCAAGCACGCCGCCACCGCCACCGCCCCTAAGCGGCAGCAGCAGAAGCAATAACACCAGTGATAGTGACTGGCCTGAAATATCAATACTACCGCCATGGCCCATCATCGTAGTTGTCATCGAGTCCACTGACTGGCAAACAATTTTAAGTGGATTACAGCAGTTTTCGGTCGAGTTGACGACAACGTACTCGATCACCGTGTTTTCGGATAATATTGTGCAGCGTTTTTGAAAAAGAACAAATGAAGAGTATAATGTGTAGGAATGAGGAAGAAGAAACAACAAGTTTTGTTTGCACAGTTTTTTTTATTTTTTCAAACGCCCAACCGTACAAGCTGGAATCGACGTCGTCTGATGCACCGAATTTATATTTAAATGCTCGAATATTGTACAGAGCGTGTCATGAATAGAGGTATACGATATATATTTATATGTACATTTCTATGCATGATATTTTTCCAGATACACACTGTATACACTGTATGGTGTATGCACAGTTGGCCATGATCGTAAACTGTTGGACTAGAAAATTCGAAATCTTGCATTTATTTTGTTCTAGGTAGAGTACCTATAGGTACCTATATAGCTATAAAATATCAAATTGTTATTCTTTTCTTATGATTTAATGCTAAAAGGATGTAGTTCGTGTGTTGTTTTTTCTCTCAGAACCACGAGTAACTCAGAAAATGTGCGTTTTTCAGAACCAAAAATGTTTTGTAAGCTTCGTTTGGTAGGAATTTGTCTTTTTATCAAAGCTTAAAGTGGATAACACTAGCTGTATGGGTAAGTTAGGTTTTTCACAACATTTCAATTTGTACGCAAGTTATGAGTATGTAAAATATTATAGTCCAAAAATAACGATGATAATGTAATTTTAAAATAACCAAATCGTACAAAATTCAACTAGGTACAAACATAGATACTGTTCATAACTTTAATGTTGAAGGTCATAATAGGTTAATTCGATCTAATACTAAAACGAATAACAAAATGTTGCTTTTTTTGATATCAAATATACAATATTTTGAAGGATCGTAGAGAGAGAATAAATAGTGACATTCTGACATATTCTGATACTTTCAACCATTATAGACCGCTATGAGATGGATAGATATAGAAACATGTAGATATGTATAAGACTATAATGGACTACGCATAAATAGAGAAGTCAGGTGAACATATAGAGTAAAAGTAAAAAAAAATAATAAATGGGAAATTACAGTGTGCCCAATATCTAAAAAAAAAGATCTGACTAGAACATCAAATTTCTTGTCGTTTTAATATAATATGAACCCATTTATTTAAACTACAACTTCTTGACACGGTTTACGACATTAAATCATGCTCGCCCCCGTATTTTTCCAATTTCCATTTAGGTGAACCAAGGAAATTGGAAAATGTGGTAGCCCAGCTGGTAGCCGAGAGGTTTTAACTTCTAGGTAACTATAAATCGGTACAAATACGATAATTTGAATGAAAACTTGGCCATTAGGTACTTTATTTGTTATTTTCTCACGGTCTGTCAATGATACCGATCATCTGCCGACCGATCAGAATTTAATATATTATATATTTTTCATTCGGGCGGGATTGTGTTAAACTGATTTTGGTTTACTAACCAAAAATATATTTCATGTATAAAACAAATTGTAAGGTATACACTATACAGTATATTTTAAATTGTTAATCTAAATAACATGTAATATTATTTGTCGCCTGACTATTCAAATGTATATTGACATATATATCGATCATCAGTAAATCTTTTTAGAAAGCTTGCCACAAACAAACACACATACAAAAATCAACCAACTAATAGTTATAGGTAAACCAATCTAATAGTCTAAAGAGGTTAAAAACCCATCACTCTTTGGGCATGAAAATGTACGCATAGATACAACTGCAATATATACATTAGAATACACTTAATTATTTGGTATCACATATAGTTAGTGAAACCCGAAGAAAGGCCACCTGATGGGATATACAATAATCAATAACATGCATATCAATAGCGTTTTTATAATTATGAAAAACGACATCACCGTGAAAAACAATCGCTCCTCGTTTATGAAGCTTTAAATACCATAAAATAGTGGCATAGTTTACCACTTCATGTTCTACAAAAATCTCAGGGGAAAAGAAGTTTAAGAAAAAAATCTTTTAAATTCGTACTACAGGCGGTGGAACTCTTATCCATAATCCGTGACTTCGAGCGGTGACGCCAACCACCAGCCACCTGCAGGAGTACCAATCTCGTTAAAATTCAGTTTAAGTTAAATATGTTATTTTGTAACCAAATTACGAAAACATTGTTTAAAGATGAATTTATGCCTATCGAATAATATTGCACATGGTAATATTATGATGTGCTTAGTATCAGAATAATTTATTTAGCTGTCCATTGAAACATTTTGACTATTAATTATCGGTAGACCAAGTCACACCTGGACCGGTAAATTGACTAAAAAATACGCCAAAGACAATTATATGAAGTTATCAAATACTCGGTAGGTATTAATATATAATATGATTTATTTATATTATATTAATAAGCTAAGTTAAAATATAACGGTTATAATGTTTACATTTTGTGTGCATAATATAATATGATAACACGATGACACGTTTATTACTTTCGTAATGTTTCGCTAAAATTAAATCAACTAAAATATCAAGTTTAAAATGTCCATCGCACGTTAACATTACAGCACTGTGAATATAACTCTTATTAATCCTAACTATATACGAATAATATCGTATGCTATAAACTATTATTTAATATCATATCTAATTATATAGATACACCAGCTAACTAACAATGATTATGGATTGATGTGCAACTATATTATAACTCTGATTTTAGTTTTGAGTTCTCTTGGAAATGTAATATGTCGTACCACATGAACTTGGACATGCCGTGGACCCTCGGTGAATCACCGAAAACGACCTCGAACATTGCGCGGCTGCTTTTTATCATTTTCTTGTAATTGGGGGTGTCCGCGAAAGACGCACCAGTATTGTACAGGAGATCCACCTTGTATACTTTTATCATATCCGCCACCTGCTCCTCCATAGATTTATCATCTTCTTCTTTGGGTTTCACGACGCAGACGTCCTTCACGTAATCCAGCATTTTATCGGACCTCTCAGACAGCTGCCTGGAGTACTCGTTCTTGACATCATCCACCATAGTGTGGCCATTCGTCTTGTATATATCGAAGAAACTGAGGGTTTCTAGCACGTGTATATCCGTGAACTGGAGCGCACCCATCGTCATCAATACCGACTCGATGACATCCTTGGATTTTCCTGACCAGCTAGCTGCCTTCCTCTGCGACTTATTACGTTTCATCTCCACTCGAATCAGGGTTATGAGGTGCACCATGTGCTTATACAGCAAACACTTGAACGATAACATCAGTACATTCAGGCCCATGTCCAGTATACTTCCCACCACGAACCGCTTTAATATTATGTTTCTGACAAACTTGTACGGTATAATGAGGTCCCAGGTATTACCCTTTGGTGGCGTGCTACTGGACACCTCTCCTCCGCCGGACGCCTCTCCTCCGCCGGACGCCTCTCCTGCACCAGACGTATCTTCTACACCGACCGGTGCCGCCTGCACCTCATCCGTGGTGGACGGCTCGTATCTCGCGTTTTTCATAAGCTCTTCGTCGATGATGCGCCCATAATACGTCCGGTCCAGCTTGTAGTAGACGCTCTCGAGAAATAAATTCCTCCACAGATAGTCTTGCTTGATGATGGTCGAAAGCAAATCCAACTTTTTGTCGTACGCGGACATTATTCCGGCGCGGGCACCGATAGCTGAACAAAAACACGCCAGTAGGACCACGGTCCACGGGCAAGGTCGGGTCATGGTGATGGCGGTAAGGGACGGTTACCTCCGTTTAGGTACCGATTTCGCTGTTCACACGAATAAAGAGTACGACGGACCCAGAATACGTTGGCCGCGGGAGTGTCGTGGTTTGTTAGTGTGAACACCTGCAAATGATGGCTGCCACGGAATGCCCGTGTTGAGCAAACACGGCTCGAAAAACAAAAACGGAATTGCGATCGCGATCGCAAGACCTGCAGAAAATAAAATTTCACAACGAAAAACACCTTACGAAATAATTTCGATTTACTATAGGCGGTATTGTTGTTTGTTTGATCAAGTGTAGTTCTGTACGTACGCCGCAAACGGAGAAACTTTTAAGTAGCGAATCGATTTATTGGTTTTTTTTTCAATAAAGCTTTTTTAGATTAGTCAAAAAATTGCAAAAAAATATCCATCCAAATCCCATTTAGACATTACTCATAATTCGTAAAACATTATATATTATTATATTATAACCAAAGACGCGATCGCAGTAGTAAAAAAAAAAAAACAAAAAAAAATGATTAATTTTATGTAAACCATTATTATATTTCACATAATATTCGATCAATATTTTGTAGCGCATAGCCCTAATATATTACCTATACAGTATACACAATATTGAATATAATATAATATTTTAGTAGTCGATGCGAATAAAATAAACAGAAAAAATATATTAAGAGTGTACCTACTACAACTTGCTACTGATTTTCTATAATTGTGTACTATTATCTTTAAATACAGAACAATAATTATTCAAAAAAATCAATTTATTTAAATATATGTAATATGTATAGATATTGACAAATATTTATTTGGATACTAGATGTATTATGAATACGTTTGTAGTTAAACTCATTAGACAAAATACATTTTCGTTAATGTCTATACACATATTTAAATAATTTGATATTTTCTATAATATTTGTAAATTTTTAATGCGTATTATACCTACTACAGTTTTTTGTTAGTAAATTTAAATAAACGTTTTTTTTGTTTTGAATAATGAATACTCCATACTGGTTTTAAAGTAGGCAATTTATTTGTATTAGGTACGAGTTTATATAGTTCTTTCTATGTTATTAAATTAGCTCGAATGTTTAGAGAAAAAAAAATCAAGTCAGCAGTGTGTAGAATGAAAATCCAAGTATTATGACATTATATAGATTCTGAATTCTATATTTTAAATATCATATTATAATTTTGTTACTTACTAAATTGCCTATACTTGAACCGAAAATCGGCCTCGGCGTCCAGTCACCGAACTACGCTTAATGGCTATTTGTGCGGGTAATATGAGTAATTATACTCATAGTGACGGCAGGTGTCATAATATTATTATATTTTATCATACGTGGCATTTAATTGTGGCATAATAATTGTGTACAATAAGCGACTATAGTTTTTAATGTTACATTTTCTTTGATTTTAAATATCATCAGAATATGATAATATATTAATATCCACAATCAACATCAACATACAAGAAATATATTATTTTAATTTTTCGCACGACGTTATGATCATTTTTAAATATATACAGTAGAATCCGCTTAAAGTTAACGCCACTTAAAGGGGACACCTGCTTAATGGGGACATTAATGACAGTCCCGAATTAATGTATTGCATGAAAAATTCTTCATTTAATCAGTCGGGATAATGGGGACAAATAGGTCACCTATCGATGTGTCTTAATTAGGCGGATTCGACTGTATAGGTATTATTTTATTCTATGAAAACTTTATTTAGGTTGGAAGTAATAATAATAATTTGTTGTCGGATATATGGTACTTCAATATATTTTCGATTCCATAGAAATTAACAAAACACATTAAAAGATTGATAATATTCTACATTCTATATTATATTATTATATCGATAAAATAAAATATTGTGATACAAGAATAATTAAAATAATAAAATGCGAGACACTAACAATATATTATATTTCGGTAAAATATAGTTCGCTTATACAGTGAAATGTAATGATTAATATATTGTTTACACTATAATAATATATAGACTCTAAGGACACAGTATCGAGTATAGATTACTTTAATAACAATAACTATTCGAGTTACCTATATGTTGTTACTGAAAAATCATAACTAATAAATGCGTATAATATGCTATAGTCACACTCAGGATATTTAAATGAATATAATATTTTTCTATTCGTATATTTGCCTAAGATCCATCGGTTCGTACTTCCTGGGATTTTGAGTGTTTAATTAGGTATATCTTCTTTTCTTTCCCTTATTTTTCTTTTTTGACTTCTTCTTCCTCGGCTTTGCTCCGTCCTTTTTTTCTTTTTTCGCCGCCCCTTTTAATCGGTCCGACCCTGTTTCTTCAGGTTTAATCGGAACTTTAAGCACGCCATCTATGTAGAATTTGATGTCCATGCTGACTGGTAATCTGTAATCGAGAATTGGTAACCAAGTCTCCATGGGCATCGTTTCGACGTCGAGTCCGTCGTAAACGTCTAACATGCAGTCGATGATCTTTTCGAATTCGATCAGTTCGTTTTTCAGCGTTTCATCGTTGGGCGCGAGCTCCTCTGGCGGAGGTGGAGATTTGTTCAGACTTTGATACTTGCCCAGGTACGTGTATATATCCGAGTGGGGGGTGGGGTGACAGTGCCGTTCAAGCCTGACGTCTACCTCTTCCTTGATCATCTCGAGGACTCTGAGCAGAATGAGGTCGTCTTCGGTTCTTTCCGCGCCGTCGTAATCGTACAGACTTGTGGCAAAAAAGGCCAGCTCACCTTCCAAGGCCGCCACCTTGTCCACGAGCACTGCTAACGTCATGCGCACGTCGTCCATCGCGTCGTCGACCTTGTCTAAGGGCTTGTCTGAGGGCTCGCCGTTTTCACTGTCCGAGCCGTTGCCGTCCGCGTTCTCTTCGACCTTCTTCTTGTCCTTACCGTCGTCGTCGTTATTTTCCATGGATTTCCTCATTTTTCGCGCCAACATGCCAATACGGTTGACGATCAGTGACAGCACAAACGACACGTTGTTGTACGTGAAGCACGTGATGCCGGTGCTCAGTGCGTACGCGGTGAAGTTCACGTTGGTGCCCGACCACGGGGTCTTCTCCATCAGTTGCTGTATAACATACATTACCGTATGATCCCGTGTATCTTTCGGGTCCACCAACTGAACCCGATTCAAAATTTCTTTGTAGGATTCCGTCATGTGGTACCGCGGCAGGCTGAGCACGGACAGCTTGATCTTCTGCTTGAGCACCTGCGACCACCGGTCGTCGTTCATCAGCACGTGCTCGAACAGCGCCATCCGGTCTGCGAACGGCGATTCCGGGTGGCCGACCCAAGTGCCCGTGACCACGGTGAACCCCGGCCACGGCGACATGCGGATGACGCACGACAGCAGCACTAGCACGGCCGCTGGCGGTCGCGTCATCGGTACGGTATGATTGGCAGCTGTGGTTTTGTTGTGTGCCCGGTGGTCGGACGCTCCGTTGTTGTTGTTGTTGTGATGGCGATGGACAGTGTGTGCGCACCGACGACTTTCGGTGTCGTTGCGCGAATGAGCGGGTGTAATCGCGTCACGACCTGCACCGCCAGAAGAAAACTCGCTGCTGTTTAAACACAGACGCGTTTCCCGCGTTGTTTGTGAACGCGGCCCACCGACCAATCGCGTTGACTTTCAACAACATTTTTTAAAGAAAATCAATCCAAAAGTCGCAAATTATGGTTAAGGCTAGAGGGACTTGATGCCCTAAAAAACGTTGCAATATTAATTTATTATTATGCTCTAAAATAATATCACCAAGCGTCTAAGCATGCCCTTTAAACATGCATTTAAAACCGATATATTTTAATAACAGTGTATCTATTAGAAAAATATTATTAAGGGGCCTCGCAATGGCATTGATTTAAGGAGAATCATTTAGGCAATTTCTAATCTCGTCGTCGCCACCCGAGATCTATGTGTAAGTCGTAAATGATTATTAGTGTGTGTGTCGTCCATGCGGGTCAATTGTAGCTCTCGCACGCACTCGCACACACATGTCAATATATAATAATATTGTGATCATGAAAAAATGCTTATTTTTCACTTAAACATACGATTCTAATTCCAACAGTACGTCTCAACGATTACTTCAATTTTCATTCTGTCAAAATATTCTTATTTTCCACAACATGTACGAGGGATCGATCGAGGCACATTTTTAAAATTGTATTTAGTTAATTAAATATTTAAGTTGGAAATTCTGTATTTTTTTTTGATTTTTTTACAATTTTTATTGCAATTTAAATTACAAAAATTAAAAATGTGGCTCGATCGATCCTTGTATATACTACGGACAATCAGAATATCTTTTCAGAATGAAAATCGTGATAATTGTCGACACGTATCGTTGGAAATAGAAACAGTAGTTTTTGACAAAAAAAGACTTGGTAGTGAGGCCCCTTAAATATACCTAATTAGTTGTTTATGTTGCTAAAAACTTTAAAAATCTTAAGCTAAAGTTGGGGAAAACTAGAACGTAAATTAATAACACATTGACATTATAATCAATAACCATAAATTATGGGTCGTAAATATTCAAGTATATGACATTGGCGAACTAATGGATGTGTACTCTCTCTTTGTTTCCACCAACAATTCAAAATTGCTGTTTCCCTCATCACTTGTTTCCTACAATACATAATAATTTTAAAAAAGGTTTCATTCCCATTTTTGCCAACATAATATGCCTGCATTAGTAAAACTATTACACTTATATTCCGTATTTTTGGAGGACATTTTGAATTTTCATGTACTTGCATCTAAGTATGTGTAATAAATAACCAGCATTATTATTTGAATATGTATGTTGTATTTAAAAAGAGAACAATTATTATTATTTTTAAGATATATTCAAATTTTAAATCATACTGTCTTAACTTGAAATATTGTTGCATGTTTTACTTTAAAATAACTAATATCTCATATAAAAAAATGTACGTTATTTATGTAATATGTATTATATACGTGAACTATGAAGATTTAAGATTTTATACTGGGACCTTTGTTGTTCCACAATATTTTGATCACAACAGGTAAATATTGGCGGAACCACCTAATTGCGCTTATTATTTTTAGTGTTAGGTACATTTGATTATATGAGATATTTTAAAAATAAGTTAAAATCAAAACAAAAACATAACTTATAAACTATAATACATCAAAGGTGGTAACTTGACGAATTGCTTAATTTTTTAATCGACTTATGTAATTTACTACCTTAATAAATTGACGGTTGAAATAACTTAGCTTTTCTCAGATGACTTAAAAATAATCCATCTAATTCAAAATTGTTGAAAATTTTCGTTTCCATGGTTTTACATGTTTTATTAGTTTGTATTATTAATATTAAAAATAAAATAAAACAATCCGATAGATACTAAATTATAATACAAACATGTCTGTTATTTTTCTTGATGAAATAATTTTGTGTATATTTTTGTAGATTAGATCTTATGCATAATAATGTATGACCTTAAATTGCTATTTAATATAAAAAAATTAATATTTGTTAAATTATTAACATAGATGTGTAGGTAAGTATAGTTTAATTATTTAATAATTATATGAATTAAAATAGGTATATACACTGTACATTACGATAAAAATTTAATAAAATTGTATATTATAATTTAGGAAATTAGAAAGAACGCAGTCACTCATTATGTGGTCCACATACTCACATACACACTAGATTTAGTTTTTGATATTACGTCAATATTTTTTTCCCTATTAACTTTTAACTTATTTAGTAAAATGTATGATTTGTTAACTGTAAGCTTCTAACTTATCGATATTCTGTCCTCTTAACTCAACTTGAGTAATTATTTCATTAAATTACCCACCTTTGCTATTTATTCATCGATCCCTACGTATAATGAATAATGATCAGTTTTCATATTAGACAAATCTCGGTAGTTAAACTCTAAATAAACAATAAAAGATAACTTTTAAAGAGGCCAGAATCAAATGTAAAATATATTTTAATATTTATTGTAGGTACAATATTATTTTAGAAGGTACCGACAAATACAAAATACTAACGCCACATGATAACTCATTTGCAAATATAATTATGTATTAAATGTATATCGTATGGCTATGCAAGTCCCCTATTAACACGTTGAGTGCCACGGTCGACACGTAGTCGACAACTGTTGCAGGGTCACCAGGACCGCGGTCGACACGTAGTCGACAAATGTTATATGTATCTTTATGGGTGTATTATTTCATCGGTTATAGACGCACTATTTCAATTTTTATATGTGGTTATTCAGTAGGATCTCGTGATTTCATTGGTATATTTGGATTTTGCGTAGCTATTTTTAAAGACGTGTATTAATTATTTTTCCCCGTATTACGACGACAACGACGGCGATGTCGACAGCGCGGCGGTCCTATTTCCAATAATAATATTATATTATTTGTGTTGTCACTAATTGGCCGACAAAAATAATATTAGTTTATTAATAATATACAGGGTGTACTTTTTTTAGATGTGTAATAACAATACGTGAGTATTTATGTTCGCAGTATGGTACATTCTATATTCACATTTTGCATAGCTTTTATTGAACATTTATTTTGATTCCTATTGCTTTATTACAAAACTATAATTACTAGGTAGTATTTACTGTAGATTATTAGTACAATAAATCAGTATTCCAAGTGAGTTGATACAGAGTGCAAAAACTTCACCGGGCGCGGGGAACCGATGTCGACACGTAGTCGACCGTCACGTACGTTTCTCCAGCCCCCCCCATATCAAATTTCAAAATTTTTTTTGGTTAAATATTTAGCGTGCAATTAGCGTGAATTGGCGTGACTGGTTTTGGAATTTGCTTGGCACTAGGTCAAGTTTAAAAATGTAAACAAAGTGGGGGGGGGGGCTGTAGAAACGTTTCTACAGCCCCTCCTCATCCGAATTTTGAATTTTAAGGACTTTTTTATGTCTCAATATTTAGCGTGCAATTGGCGTGAATTTGCGTGACCTATTTCGAAACCCTGCATTCAAAACACCAAGTACCACGGGCGTTACCATTTTTTAGACGTTTCTCCAGCCCCCCCCAAAAGACAAATAAATTTTTTTTCGTATTTTTTTCAACGCCCACATTTAGCGTGCAATTGGCGTGAATTTGCGTGACCTATTTCGAAACCGTAAACCCAAAGGCCCGAGTACTGTGGGCTTTACCCCTTTATTGCCATTTCCCCAGCCCCCCTCAAACAGCGAATACATTTTTTTTCGAATTTTTTTCAACGCCAACATTTAGCGTGCAATTGGCGTGAATTTGCGTGACCTATTTCGAAACCCTGCATTCAAAACACCAAGTACCACGGGCGTTACCATTTTTTAGACGTTTCTCCAGCCCCCCCCAAAAGACAAATAAATTTTTTTTCGTATTTTTTTCAACGCCCACATTTAGCGTGCAATTGGCGTGAATTTGCGTGACCTATTTCGAAACCGTAAACCCAAAGGCCCGAGTACTGTGGGCTTTACCCCTTTATTGCCATTTCCCCAGCCCCCCTCAAACAGCGAATACATTTTTTTTCGAATTTTTTTCAACGCCAACATTTAGCGTGCAATTGGCGTGAATTTGCGTGACCTATTTCGAAACCCTGCATTCAAAACACCAAGTACCACGGGCGTTACCATTTTTTAGACGTTTCTCCAGCCCCCCCCAAAAGACAAATAAATTTTTTTTCGTATTTTTTTCAACGCCCACATTTAGCGTGCAATTGGCGTGAATTTGCGTGACCTATTTCGAAACCGTAAACCCAAAGGCCCGAGTACTGTGGGCTTTACCCCTTTATTGCCATTTCCCCAGCCCCCCTCAAACAGCGAATACATTTTTTTTCGAATTTTTTTCAACGCCAACATTTAGCGTGCAATTGGCGTGAATTTGCGTGACCTATTTCGAAACCCTGCATTCAAAACACCAAGTACCACGGGCGTTACCATTTTTTAGACGTTTCTCCAGCCCCCCCCAAAAGACAAATAGATTTTTTTTCGTATTTTTTTCAACGCCAACATTTAGCGTGCAATTGGCGTGAATTTGCGTGACCTATTTCGAAACCGTAAACCCAAAGGCCCGAGTACTGCGGGCTTTACCCCTTTATTGCCATTTCCCCAGCCCCCCTCAAACAGCAAATAAATTTTTTTTCGAATTTTTTTCAACGCCAACATTTAGCGTGCAATTGGCGTGAATTTGCGTGACCTAATTCGAAACCGTAAACCCAAAGGCCCAAGTACTGCGGGCTGTACCCCTTTATTGCCATTTCCCCAGCCCCCCTCAAACAGCAAATAAATTTTTTTTCGAATTTTTTTCAACGCCAACATTTAGCGTGCAATTGGCGTGAATTTGCGTGACCTATTTCGAAACCGTAAACCC